TTCTTTTGCCAAGGAGCACACAGTTCGTTGGCGTTTTCCCGAGACCATTGCCAGTGCCTTCAAAGACACGACGTCACGTGTGCCGGAGCATGCCTCCGGTCTGAGTGAGTTCCTGTCAGCCTGACGTGCGGGGGGGATACTGAATTAATTCCTGATGCCATTGCATGCATCACAACATGAAGATATCACCCACTGGCATAAGTGTGTTGAGTCACTACATTTCCCCAGGCTGCAAAAGAACAAGAATCATAACTGTTTCCCGGCACAGACCCATGAGGGTGCTGGCTGCTGCCAAGAGACCCATGTGCTCTGCTCGACCTCCCAATGACTTTTCCAAGGAGTCAGCACCAATGCAAGGCACAAGTGGGTCTGCCTTTCCCTCTCCCTCTCTCTCAGCCTACCATGGCATGGTTGTGAAAGGTAAATAGGAATTGTCCAGAGAAAGCTATGTGCCTGCCCCAGGTTGTGAAACTTGGTTCATATGAGGCTGCGAAGATTTCCCCCAAAAAAAAAAAAAAAAAAAAAAAAAAAGGAGGGGGGGAGGAAGGAAATTTTAAAAAAGAGATGATGATTTGGGCCAAGTTCAGGCCATTGATTTGAGCTCTGAGTCTGGGAGCCCAAGAAACAGTTGTGCATTTAATGGCCTATTATTTTGTACCCAGCACAGACTCCATTTTCACTCGCAGCCTCCTGGATTGCATCTGATCTTATTTCAACAACCTTTTCATGCATATGCTTTAATATCACCTTTTTATTATTTCTTTAATATGGAGTGAAACAATTATATGGGCCACTCTCCACCCTATGGACCAGTGTGTCCCAAGGCTGTCGTCAGAGGGTAACAAGGACTCTTGCTGGGTCATCAATGAGTGACACTATGCTCCACAAGGAGAGCCATCAAAGCAGAAATAGGAGTCAGGATGTTTCCTAGGGAAAATGAACTGCAAGGGAAAGGATGTCTTGGCACAGGGTGAAAATGCCTCCCCTCACCAACGAGGTGAGGGAGTTTGGGTAGCAGACTGGTTGTGGGGCCCTACAGCTCTTGCTCAGTGTACTTTTGCTACTATCGCACAAGCTGAGCAAGAGGAGGGACCACCACCGCAAGCCTTTTCTTAGGAGTGTCAGTGAGACCTGTCCCTGGCTTACAAACACCCCCCGTGGCTCTGCTGTGATGACTATGCCTGTCTATGTTAAGGGAGCCAGCAACCAGAGAGCAGAGGAGGATGATGGAAAAGGGGAGGCAGGAAGGCTGTTGGTCCTGGATGGACAGACAGACAGATAATTATTGCCTTTAGGATCCTGAGGGACAAGTAAATTGTAAGGGAAGCTGTAATATGCCATAGAACGAATATCTCTTGTTGAGGCTGTGATTTGTCACAGCCAGGAGAGTTATGAATTTTAGTTCAAGAGTCAGTATTATTTTAGCTTACCCTTGAGGATCAGGATTCACAGGCTGGAGATGAAGTGGATGTTGTATAAAAATGTTTCCCCACTGGTAAGTGGGTGTTTCTACTCTTCACTGAGTGGTCTGCGTGATATGCAGTTTTAGAGAGGGCATTTGGTATACGGCATAAAATATATCACATTACAGGTGAGAATCCAAAGCTTTTGATGGGTCTGAAGTGAGACAGCTCTGAAAATGCAGATAACTGGGTCAATGACAAAATGTGCTATTTTAATGCCTTTGAGGTTTTGCTTCTGATGAGTATTTGGGTCCCCACACCTCTAGCTAAGGATAGGAAGGGGGATTTCAAGCAGGAAATATCAAGCACAGGCAATGAGAGGAGATAATAACTTGAGCTGTGGCATAAGGGAGAGACTTGTCAGGGATCTCAGCACTGCAGGAGAGGGGAGGATGGTGGCCTCAGAAAGAGACAACAGAAGAGGCTGGTTGGAGCAGTGCCAGTGCCTTTTGACATCTCTGCTTTCTTCCCTAATTGCTACACCCCTCTGGATAAATCACGAATGGTCTGACTCGAAGGGGCTGCTCTGAATCACTTGCTTATCCATTAGATCCATCCACACAAGAGCATGGGAGATCTGAATGAGGCACAGCTCAGCCTGTAGCAAGGAGATGGCATCCTTTAACTCTTCTTTGCATTGAGTAACAGCTTTAGACAGTCACCTCCAGTCCTGCTTCTTGCACCCCACCTCTGTTGTGCTCCAGAACAGTCAGGGAATTGAGTTAATGAAACTTGGCACTGAAATGCAGCCTCAGAGGAGGCGGCAAATTGGCAAGCCAAGCTAGGACCCATTCACAGGGGCAAGCTCTGCCATCAAGGAAGTGAAGCCATCCACCCTCCCTGCACATGCACATTGTCCTCTCCATCCCACTGGGGATGACGGTATCCCATCAGCAGCTGCGAGTCACAAAGGACTTCTTCTAGAGCAAAAGCAAAGGCCAAAATGCACACACAGGTTCCCCTACAAGAGCTGATCCTCCAGCTTGTCAGCAGTGTAACCGTCTAGAAAAGTGTAATTATTGTAAATGTATTAATAGTGATCTGGGAAGATTATAACTTTCTCTCTCCCTTCTTCTTTCCCCCTCCCCTCCAAACTTTCTGGTTGTGCTTTTTTTGGCAACCCCAAAATAGTAATTTGATGCAAACTCTGGCCACAAATCCAATGGAGCTTGATAGGCTTTAAACGAGGGGAGGGGGGATAGGCAGGGGTGATTGCCTTTAATAACTGTTCTTGGAGAAAGGCCACTGATGTGTTTTCATTACTCAGAAGAAGAAGAAAGCCAGAAAGAAAACAAGTGGCAGGACAGCCATTAGAAAATAACTATGAATAATTATAGAGTGGGGGTAAGGGGAAGTCCACGAAATTACTTCAGGGATATAATCATGAGCCCACATCCAGGCTAGTTACTGGCAGCTAAGAAGAAGATGTATCCAAGCAGTTTGAGGGCCCCTCTGGTTTGGGTCGATCTCCATCCAGTCTTGCATGAGCCTGCATCCCCATCACAGAACCGGTTGTCCCTGGTGTCTCAGCAGGACTCAGCAACACTGCACACATTCCTGACCTTACAGCACTCTGCAGACCTTCAGGGATGAGGCTCCATGCACATGTCTGGGATGGGATGGAGATAGGATGTTTTCCTTTCACAACAGGGAAGCTGATGGTCTAAGCTGCTGCCTGGATTAGATTGGTAACTTAATTGTCCTTTGGATGATATGACTGGTCTACTCATTGTGGGTATTTAATGAAGGAGGCTGTATACAGGCATCCCACCAGCAGAAACCTTTGCAAGAAATCGAGGTGTGATAGTCAAAGGGAGGAGAAAGGAAAGTTTTCCTTAGTCAAAAGGGCTATAAATGGGAACAGCCAACTCTTCCCATCCCCAAATCCCAGAGTAGTCTGGATATGCCTGGGACCTTCTGAGGCAGCTCAAGAGAAGAGAAAGCCTGGTTTCTGAGTGCTCTTTAGTGTCAGACTGTAGAGGTCATGTCTCTTCATCTCTAGAAAATCCCCAAAACATGCACATCCACTCCCATCAATGGTACAGCCAGACACCCACCCATGGGGCTCTCCATGAAAACTACACCTCCCTGCCCTTTGGAGAGGGGCTTTGGTGTGTTCCTAGTGGTATTATCAATTCAGACAAGAACATTTCCACACACGTGGCAATGTAAAAGGAGATGAAAAGCCCAAATCCATCTTGGCTCATGCACGGAGCAGGAAGGAATCCAGAGTGGTTGAAAGATGAAAAGAGGAAAAATAAAATCAGCAGGGCTCAAGAGGTTATTTTCATGCCAACTCCTCAGGCGCTATGCAAAGGTTCAGGAATGAACGTGCACAGCAGGCTTGGAGAGAGGTGATGGTCACAGTCAGGAGTCATGTCCTCTAGGGAAAGCACTGTTTATTGCCAGTTCACAGGGCCAGGCAGCAGGTATGTGATCACAGAGGCAAAGGACATCCCACATCACACCCAGCACACACTGTAAGGGACCTCTGGATTCTCAGCCAACTCCAAGCATGTACTTCTATCCTAAATCATTATCCTAATGCTCACAGCAGAACCTGCAAAACCTTACAGGAGCAGAGAGGACTGTCCTTCTGAGAACAAGTGCTTCTTCCAGAAGATACCACTCTCCTTGTCACAGAAATAATCTACTGTATTTCTGGGTCACACATCACCATGGCATCTATCTGCACAGCAAGGTTTCTAAAGCTTCTTAGTCTATGCCAGAGAGACACAGCAACCCCATGTATTTTATTGCACTACAAGGTAAATAATTAGACAATACCTCCAGAAGACAGCAGGCTGAGGCATCTGTTCAAGTTTCCCAGAGACAGTCTGAATTTATACTCTTCCTTTTATTTACACCATTTTTTCTTCTGGTTATTGATGATGTTTCTCATTTGTTTTTATTAGATGCAGGTGTTTTCTGCACTTCAGCTGGGAGCACTTTCCCTTTTCAGCCAATTCCAGATCCACTTTGTGTCTCGGTCACCTTTTGACTGTGATACTGGAGAGGCAGAGAAAGAGAGAAAGAAAAAAAAAAAGAGAGATACTGTTTTTTGCTGTCTCAGCAGATGTGTGTTAAAGTGTTTTAGTGATTCAGCCAGTGCGTCTGCCTGAGGCCAAAGGAGAGGCATTGTCTGAATCTAAAACAATTAATAACAAAAAAAGAATGTGGGCAGCATGGAGTGGGGGAAGGTGGAGGTGGAAAGCAAGCGAATCACAGGGATATTTCCAGCTTGCAGAGCACCTTGACAAGATCTCCAACTGCTTTCAAAGACAGCCCTTTACACCCAGCCAGTCCCCTCCAAGATACAGAAGCCTCATCAGCCCTGTTGTGCAGACAGGGGAAACTGAAGCTGCTTTTGCAACTCACCCCCGGTCATCCAGCCTCTCTGGAAGAGGGCCAGCCTCCTCCCCAGAGCCAGCCTCTACTTTCCCAATGCCCCAGGGAAGCACAACCCCCGGCATGCACGGCCCAGGGCGGTTTGGAGAGTTGCAACACCCGCTCGTTCCCGGGCCATGCACATGTGCCGGGAGGGACACTGAGCTGCTCGCCCCACATTCAGGGACCCCTCTCAGGTCCTTCGAGAGCCACCAGCAATGCAATGACCTCTGTTCTCTGCTCCAGCCGGGAAGGTGCAAGGGGAACCTCTGTTGACTGCTCATGATGAAACATCTGTCTTTTCCCCATTAGCAGAAGAAACTAATTTTGTCTGTGCTCAGGCAAGAGGAATTTGTCCCCTGAGCCATTTATGCCTCTATCATTTAAACATCCAGTACAGCCTTTATGCTTCAGTCCTTGTGAAACTTGGAGGACCTCCTGATGCTCAGAATCTGATGTCCCTCACTTACCAAATCCCCCCACCTTGCAAGCTGACTCTGGTGAGCCACGGAGAGATGGAGGCACCCCAGTCAACAGTCACCGCTGGAAATCTTGGCAGCCAAGCCTTGGTAATATGAAACAGAGCCAACACAGCCCCGCAGAACACCCAGGCACTGATCTGGTGAGGAGAGACTCCATTTCTACATGCGGTTTAAAATTGATACCCCCATGAGGCATGTCAGAAAGCAAAACATTGATGCTGTCTTCACTGGAAGCATCGGTTGCTTTGTTTTTTTAATGACACAGAAATCTGCTTGCAAAGAGATAATTTCATTCAGCCTAGCCCTTGCTGGATGTGGAAGGAAGTCCTTGGAGGTGACTCTCCAACGTATCCAGTATGCCACCTAGCCCTCGCTAGCTCTACTACACCCACCACTGCAGGACAGGCTGCTCACGCCTGCTGGAAAGGGGCTCCCAACATGAAGCTGTGAACGCTTGTTGGGGTTATCATCGCAAGTAAGAAGGGACTGTCCAAGGGAAGGACAAGTATCTTGGGAAGAAATCACATTTTACTTCTGACACTCAACCCGGTCTCCATGCAACGTGAAATAATTGTGTTGATAGCTGCACTGCCTACTGCTACTCATCTTTCCTTTCTGCACTTCTGTCTCAGATTTGCCTCATCAGTTCCACTTTTGTCACTTGCCTTTTTTCCTTCCAAGGATGAAATACCAGCTTTTTTTTCATAACGATGCTTCAGGCACCTGATTTCACAACTTGTTTGTGGTTTTTAATAGTTGCACATGACAAAAAAACACCATTCTCCTGTATAAGCATTATTTTGCTAATGAGTTTCAGATCTACACAAACTGGACAGTGGTTTTGGATGGAGAAGAAAAAAAAATCTCACTCTTGTATCTGTGATTCAGCTCTCAATCTTTCTAGATTGTCTGAACTTGTTTGATCTTCTAAGTGCCTCCAAAACACACAGATTAGCCCAAACTGATTAAAACATATGTTCCATCCTCTTTATCATACTCAGGAAAGCCAATGCTTTTGCACATTACAGAGAGTATCCTAATGAAGTGTGATGTATTTGAGATGTAAAGAATGGTAACTGATTTCCAAATAATTATTTCTCTTTTTGCCACAGAGCCATATGCAACAATGCATGAAGCCTACAGCAATGAAGTATATTAGAATCACTAATAGAAACTTTGGTTTCCACTGAACACTCTCTGTTCACTCCTCCAGAATAAGAAAGCATGTCTTATAAACATAAAACATGATTGTGATCTCCCTTGGAAGAGCACAAGCCAGGAGAAATGTGATCTTTGTTAGCTGCAGGCTCTCCGATAGTTCACAACCAGCCGTACACTGCACACTGCCCCATTGCTGTCTTACATTCCCAGCCTAGTGGGATCTCTTTGGTCTCAGCAAAAGATGCCAAAAAGACAGCCCTTGTGAGGAGCATGGACAGCACACACCAGGTGATCACCTGCAACTCCATCTCAGCTGCTGGCCTCAGTGGTTGAATACAGGTGGTAGCCCCATGATCCACACGGCTGAGACTACTTTCGTAATGTGGGAATTGGGGCACATCTCATGGCTAAAATCTTGTCATCTTCTGGTTGAGGATGAATCAGTTTTGAGGTACGCTTTCATAGGTGAACGTCCTCATGGCGCAGCACAAAAGTGAAATGAAGGTGGCCGCAAGACAGATTCACATCACCTGGATTTTGGCCTGCTCTGAAAGCCCGGGAGAATGTTCCCGGACAGCCATAAATTAAAGCAGCTTCCTCAGGGATCCCTCACAGGATCTCTGCCCCATGGCAATCCAGCCGTGCCCAAGCCTCCTATGCCAGGGCTTGCAGCTGGGCTTAATGGAGGCAGTTCTCTACATGCCTCACCATTTTGTGTCTTGCAGGTTGGAGTGGGAGTGAAACTTCTCCTCCACCCCTCTACATACTCTCACTGTCTCTGTACCCGGTATTAATATACAGGGCACACAGTTTCTTAAGGGGTGACAGAGAGAATGAGGAAAGCAAATTCTCTTATGCCCTAAGCCCTCTCACAGAATGTTTCTAGATCTTCAGGTGAACAGTGCTTGCACTCTGCCCAGTCCTATTTTCTGCAAAACACCCATTCAGAGCAGCAGCAGATCTTCATAAAAATCAGCAGCAGGATGCAATTAATATACTGTAAAAGTTGTGTCAACTGGAGAAACCATTTTCAAACACTTCTAGATAAAATCCTAGGGGATTGCTTTTCTTACCTTAAAAGTGCCTATTTATTTGCAGTTAACTGTGATCTAAGCAGAGATTCAGGTAGCATTAAATAGAACTTCTGGAAAACTTGTTAGTAGAAAGACACCACCCCCACATCCCCACGCACGCACCCCCACCCCCAAAAA